GTTTTGGTTTGGTCTGAGCCTGGTCACTGGGTGTGTTGGTTCTGTAGCCTCTTGGGAGGGACTCTGGGGTATGTCAAGTGTAGCTGCTGGTTGTCCTGCCTAGTGGGAACTACAAAGTGATCTGTGGTTGGTTGCTGCTTTTGATGAGCTTATAGGCACTTGTGAGAAGCTTTGCTGTGAACTGAGGCCTTCTGCCACTATTGCTGGGCTTGGGGCCCTTGGCGGGTATCATGATGTGAGCTGAGGTCAGCTGCTACTTGTGCCAGACTTTTGGCCCCTTTCCTGATGCTATGTTCCAAGTCAACACGAGCCTCAGCATATGCCAGGCTTGGGACCACCTGATGGAAGTTACAAAGCATGTTGAGACTGGTTACTACTTATGCTGGGTTTGGAGCCATTTAATATGTGGTACAGGGCATGCTGAGGCCACCTGCTGCTTCTTTTGGGTTTGTGGGTCTTTGAGAGATTTTAGAAAAGTTGCAACAAGAACTGAGCCAGGCCACTTATGTGAAGCAGCCACTTGAAAAGGTTTAGTTGGGCACACAAGTTGGATGGGGTGGGGTTTCAGGGAATCACCAGGGTGGTGATTCCAACCAGGATAATGTTGATAGCCTGGTTATGGACAGCTCAGATTTAGTGTCCTCCTGCACCAGCTGGCTAGATGGGGGGAGTAATCAACAAAGGAACAGTGGTGCCTTCACACTTCTGTCCCCAGAGAGAGCTGTCTTGTCTCTTGCCCCTGCATTTTCCACCCTGAAGTTAGGCAATTCAGTTCCTCTTCATATGTCCTTGGCATATTTTTAGCTGCTTATCCTATGTTGGAGACCAGAGTGTGTGAATTTGTAAGCTGTGAATCTATGCTCAGCCCTGAAGAGGAATACCTTGGACTTCTGCAGCTTTATCTCTCACTTGAATGCAGTCTGCTGTTTTTTAGAGCCAGATATTGTGGAGACTCCTCTCTCTGGCATGGATCTCTGTGTTGGGGAGCCCAGCATGGGGCTAGGGTCCCTCACTCTTCAGGGGAGGACCTGTGAAGCTGAGATATTTCTGCCCTTTCTTAATTGCCACACTGTGGGTATGGAACCTGGTTGTTCTGTGTCTTTGCCCCTCCTACCAGTCTCGTCATGTCTTCTTTATATTCTGAGTTATAGAATTTCTGTTCAGCTAGTCTGAAGGTGGATCTCAAAGATGGTTGTTCTATAATTTAGTTGTAATTTTGATTAGTTGTAGGAGGATGCAAGCACAGTGTTTACCTATGTCACCATCTTGACCAGAAATCTTATATTGGCTACTTTAGAACTGGAAATTGACATTGACAGGCTCAGAACTTGGATTTGAACCAAGTATTATGGAAACAATGACAGCAGTACTACAGCAGAAGTTCCTTGTAGACAAACATCCCCTAAATACAGTTGGCCAATTCTTTTCATTCTTTAAACATTTTGACATTCTTCTCTTCCCCAAATCTTCCCTGATTATTTATTAGCAGCAATTTTTTTCTTTCTTTAACCCTCAGTCTATCTAGAAATGTAATGGTCCTAACTGTGAATGGGCTGTCCAAAGAGCATGGATTTTCAATTAACCATGTGATTTAAATTCCAACTTTTTTTTAAAATTATTTTTTAATTGATTATGCTGTTACAGTTGTTCTATTCCCCCCGTCATTCCCCTCCACCCTACCCCCCTGTCCCCACCATTACCCCCCCTTTAGTTTATGATCATGTGTCTCAAGTTCTTTAGATTCTATATTTCCCATACTATTCTTGCCCCCCCCCCCATCTATTTTCTATCTACTGTCTATGCTACTTATTATCTGTACCTTCTCCCCCCTTCTCCTTCTTCCACTCCCCTGTTGCTAACCCTCCAGGTGATCTTCATTTCTATGTTTCCGCTCCTGATCTAGCTGTCCTTTTAGTTTGCTTTCGTTTTAGGTGTGGTTGTTAATAACTGTGAGTTTGTTGTCCTTTCACTGTTCATGTTTTTTTAACTTCTTTTTCTTAGATAAGTCCCTTTAACATTTCATATAATAAGGGCTTGGTGATGATGAACTCCTTGAATTTGATCTTATCTGAGAAGCACTTTATCTGTCCTTCCATTCTAAATGAAAATTTTGCTGGATAGAGCAATCTTGGTTGTAGTTCTTTGGATTTCATAACTTGGAATACCTCTTTCCAGCCCCTTCTTGCCTGGAAGGTCTCTTTTGAGAAATCTGCTGACAGTCTGATGGGGACTCCTTTGTAGGTGACTGTCCCCTTATCTCTTGCTGCTTCTAGGATTCTCTCCTTCATTTTAATCTTGGCTAATGTAATGATGATGTGCCTTGGTGTGTTTCTTCTTGGGTCCAACTTCTTTGGGACTCTCTGAGCTTCCTGGATTTCCTGGAAGTCTATTTCCTTTGCCAGATTGGGGAAATTCTCCTTTATTATTTGTTCAAATAAGTTTTCCACTGGTGGCTGTTCCTTTCCCCCTTTTGGTACCCCTATAATTTGGATGTTGGAGTGTTTAAAGATGTCCTGGAGGTTCCTAAGCCTCTCCTCATTTTTTTGAATTCTTGCTTCTTGACTCTTCTGTTTGGCCATTATTTGCTTTCTTCTGGTCCACTCCATTGATTTGAGTCCCAGTTTCCTTTTCATCGCTATTGGTTTCCTGTGCAATTCCATTCATTTCAATTAGTTTTGCCTTCATATGTTTGTCTAATTTGTGGCTATAATCAACCAGTTCTGTGAGCATCCTCATCACCAGTGTTTTAAACTGTGCGTCTGAGAGTTTTGCTATTTCTTCCTCGCTTAGATTTATAGGCTCTGGGGCTTTGAGATCTTCTTGAGCCATTTTTGGTCTGTTCATGCCCGTTAAGTATGAGGAGTGGAGCCTTGGACTCCCAGGTTGCTGGGTTGTGATGCTGTATGTGGAGGCGGGGTAAGAGCGGGGAAATGGCGGCCCCCTCTGCTGTTTCTCGCAGGTGGGTGAAAAGCAGAGCCTTAGGTTTTTCACCGGTGCAGGGCCACTTAGGTCACTGGATTATGACGCTGTATGTGGAGGCAGGGTTAGAGCAGGAAGATGGCCGCGCCCTCCGCTGCTGTTTGCTGCTGGGGCTGCTGGCTCTCGTCCAATCGCCCACTTCCTCGCTTGTCTATCCACACACGGATGCAAGACCACAGTCAACCCGCAGCCCTGCTCCCTCGCTGTTTCCCTGAAATTGCTTGCTGAGTTGCCCACCAGGTCCAACCCTGCGCCTGGATTCTGTGCACCTGAGTCCGTCTGACCAAGTTTTCCTGTGCAACCCTGCTCCTCCAGCTGCTGGTTTTGCCCCTCTTACCGGTCAGGCTGAAGAATTTGTTGTTATCAGACTTCCAAAAAGTTCAATTTTCTGTGTTCTGGCTGTTTTCTGTTGCTAATATTTAGTTGTCTCTAAACTTGGTTGTGTGAGGAAGCATGGTGTCTCCAGCTATGCCTCCATCTTGGCGGAACTAAATTCCAACTTTTTAAAAAAATTTTTATTTAATTATTTTTCAAGTACTTTTTTTTGTCTATTTCTCCCATCCCAGCCCCCCCGCCCCCGTCTCCCCACCTCCCTCCCATTTCCGCCCCCCCCAGTCCTCATCCCTGTGTCTTTCATACTTGTTCCTCAAAATCCCTCCCCATTTTCCCCCTTAAATTCCCTTCCCTCTCCCCTCTGGTCACTGCCCACTTGTTCTCTATTTCAGTGTCTTTGTTTTTATTCTGTTTGCTCATTTGTTTTATTGTTTAGCTTCCTGTCAAAGGTGAGATCATATGGTATTTGTCCTTCAATGCCTGGCCTATTTCACTCAGCATAATGCTTTCTAGTTCCATCCATGTTGTTGCAAAGGGTAGTAGCTCCTTCTTAAATTCCAACTTTTAACTCACCAACCATGAGACTTATGGTCATGTATCTTAGTCTCTTTGAGCCTTGCTTTTGGAAATGGAGACAGTCATACCCATTATAAAGATGAAACAAAACTGTGTTTGAAAAGCCCTGAGTGCCCTGGCTGGTGTAGCTCAGTGGATTGAGTGCGGGCCTGCGAACCAGAGGATCGGGGTTCGATTCCCAGTCAGGGCACATGCCTGGGTTGCAGGTCAGTTCCCAGCAGGGGACACACAAGAGGCAACCATACATTGATATTTCCCTCCCTCTCTCCTTCCCTTCTCTTCTAAAGATAAAATATTAAAAAACAAGAAAAGCCCTGAGTATATTTGATTGGCACATAGTATTCTTTACTTGTCTACTTCTAGCCATGTGACCTTGTGTAAGTTCCCTACTTTTTCTGTGCCTGTCTTCCTGTAAAATGGGCATATTGATGGTACCTACCTCTTTAGGGCTATTTGAAGGTTAAAAGAGTTAACACCAAAAGCATTTAGAATATTGCCTATCACATAATAAGGTCAATACAAAAGGCAGCTGCTATTATTCTATCACCAGCCAATACAATGCCCTTTTTCCCCTGGAGCAGTCTATTTGATTTATATGGATTAGATGTGTGGGTTATAGGGACACAATAGCAGTCTTCCCAGGGACACCAGGGTTGGTCTGGCTGGCAGCCCGTTAGTGGTGGATTGTGAATCCCCTCTCTCACTGTAGCACATGCATCTTCCAGTCACTCTGTGTTGATTCAGAGAGGACACCTCCCCCACAGAGGAATGGAACTGTTGTTGGATAAGGCTAAGTCAGTGGTAGGACAACCCTACTGGAATTGGTTCCCTGGATCTTACCATGGCTGTGGACCCACTCAAATCCTTGTGTGTAGCATTGTAGGGTGCGATAAGATTCCTATAAATTTTTCTCTTCTGCACAGTAACTCCCAGATACCGTAAAGTTGAAACATCAAGCCCTTCTTAAAGTGATGGAAGGGATCCACTCTGTTTTTCCTTTGTCCAAAGAACATCTCACTGGAGACTGGCTTCGGGCTTTGATGGCCCCTTGGAATACATGCAGGTTGAGTCAACTGATTTATGAGTAAATAAACCACTTCTGTTTGTTTCAGCTGATTATTTACCCTGGAACCAACCAAGACGAGAGCTGCTTCGTCCAGAACACAACTCCTGGTCAGAATCAACTAGGTTTGATAGTAGAACCACACACCAGGATGATTACTGTATGAAGGGCCTTGTGAGCACCATGAGCTGCAAGCCACCAGTCATGCCCAAGGTCTGTAACATCCCCCTGGAGGATCTGACTAACTACAAAATGAGCTACGTGGCCCACCCTATGGAGAAGCGCTTTGTGCATGAGGCGGAGAAGTTTAGAGCCTGTGAAATACCCTTTGAGAGCCTCACCACCCACAAACAGTCCTACCGGGGCCTGAAGGGGGAGCCAGCCAAGAGCTTGAAACCTCCAGCCAGGTCCTGTGGGCTAGACACACCTTTCTCTAATACCACAGAGTTTCAAGATAAGTTCCAGGCTTGGCCGACGCCCCAGGTGTTCTCCAAACCTCCTGTTCCCTACGCGCCTCCTGAAGAAAAGATGGACCTTCTGACAACAGTGCAGTCCCATTACACATACCCTAAGGGTGCTCCAGCTCAGTCCTGCAGACCAGTGCTTTGTGTCAAGAAGGGTGGCCGCTTCGAAAGCTCCACCACCACCAAGGATGATTACAAGCAGTGGGCCAGCATGCGCACAGAGCCAGTCAAGCCCGTTCCCCAACTGAACCGTCCCACTGAGCCCTTGGACTGCCTGACCACCACTAGGGCCCACTATGTACCCCACCCACCCATTAATACCAAAAGCTGTAAGCCCTCCTGGTCTGGTCCCCGAGGAAATATCCCTGTGGAGGGCCAGACCACATACACCATCAGCTTTACTCCCAAGGATATAGGAAGGTGCCTGGCTTCATACCCTGAGCCTCCTGGCTACATCTTTGAAGAAACAGATGCTTCAGGGCACAGGATATACAGGCCCATTTCCCAGACATGCTCTCGGCGGAACAGTCCTCTTTCTGCAGGTGATTCGGAAAACCCCAAACAGCAGGAGTTGGCAGTGCTGGCCTGATTTTTTAAAAAAATTATTTAGAAATTGCACAATACTTTTAAAAGCAGATGATTGAAAGTTACTCATTAGACAGAAAAGAATTCCCCAAATAGGGAAAAAATAACTTCATCATCATTTCCAGGACACTTAAATAAAATGAGAATCACTTGACTCAAGGAAAATGACACTTAGTCCTGACTAATTACTCCTTATCCCGCCCTTGCTGTGTTCCCCTTTTGGGTCACTTACCTTGTGCTCATGGAATCAAGGCTGGTCTCTATGAGGTTTTCTCTGAACCAGATGTATGTTATCTGTTTAATCATTGTATGAATTCACATTATGATTAACCCTTGCCAAAGACAAAACACCAAAAAATAAAATTTATTTGGGGGGGAATGAATGTGTGGGTCTGTGCCTTCACCCCCCCATGCGCTCTCTGTGCACAGAGCAGGCTGTGTTCCTTGGGACCTTTGGAGAGATTTCGGGGTCAAGCCCTGCCCTCCCCCACCCCCGCGCATCCCCACCATTGTGTTCTAGTCCTGGTGGCAGTGCCTTGTGTCCAGTCGGGAGTCTTGTTTCAGGTTCTTTCTTTCTAGGGCTGCTGCACAGGGTGTCTTTCTACCTCTTCACATTGTGACTTACCAGCGGGAATAGCGCTGTCTGATGGTGCGTGGATCTCTCTGATTATAGGACATAGCAGTCTGACAGGAGCATGGACCTGCCAGACCGCTCCCACCTCTACACCAGTGCAGGTTGTGATTCCAGAGGGAACAGGGGGACAAAGGGACCCTGACAACCACACATTCAACAGCTAGCCCCTGGATTGCGAGTTCTAATTACTCAGAGCCTGGAAAAAATGGCCCCATGCTGGGGTAGTTCCTGGGAAGGCTGGACCTTCTTATCCTAAAATGATAACTCTGGCCAGATCTGTGACAAAGCTTGAGTTAGTAGTCAGCTGGACCCTGCCCTGGAGAAAGGGTGGGAGATTTCACTAAGATTTTGCCAAGTTTGATTCTAAAGCTAAGCAATTTGGAGATTATTTTAAGTTGAGAAAAATTGAAGAAGGACTTTGTTCAAGAGGGTCCAATGCCAGGGTCATGATCTGTGTAAGTCTCTCACAGGCAGATGCAGACTGGCATACTACCTCTCTCTTGAGTCCATAGAACTTAACATATATTCCATATTCTCAGAGAACTTGTAAGCACAATACAGGTAAAAGAAAATTTCAGCTCAAGTCCAGAGAGGTGAGCTTAGGTTCAACACCTGGTTCATGGGTGAGAAACCTGCATCCCTTAGCCAGGGCTCAGGCTTCCCACAGCTCTTACCCATCCAGCCCAGACTGCTCAGGTCCCTACCCCTTTTAGTCTTACCATGAGGTTAGTTTGCATCATTGGGTTGAGATTTATATTGTTTAATTCTCTTTTTTGGTTAGACAGGGTCTGGATACCTGCCCTTATGGGGTAAAGAGGCTCAGGGCGATGACACATAATGGCCAAGGCCACAGAGCTTGGACCAATAAGGCCAAGATAGGAACCTAGGTCTTCTGATTCAAGATCCAGTGCTTTTCCCACAACAGCAGACACCTTTGTCTGCTGTGTCTCAGAGTCCAGGCTCCAAGCCACATCAAACCATATTCTGTCTGTCTGAAGCCCTTCCTGGAGTGTTAAGCTAACAGAGATCACTAAGGAGGGTAGGTTTTATTGTTTCATCTTTTTTTTTTTTTTTTTTTACAAATCAAAGAAATATTTGCACTTAAAAAGCCAAATAGTGCCAAAATGCTTACAAAAAATTCAGCAATCTCTTATTCCCCAGGCCCTTGGCCACTGCCATTATCAATTCCCTAGAGAACAACTGTAATTTGTTCTGTTTCTGCTAATGTTTCCTTTCACATTCCCAAATAATGTACCTGGTACTGCTGTTTATTGACTCGTCGATTTTAGTCACAGTCTATTTTGGTTCTGTTACACTTCCCGTACCCCCTCCCTTCTTTTCAAAATGTTTATATAACAATACTTAAAAATTATTTTGTTGTTGACAATACTTGTTTACATCAAGACTAGTAAGCTTTTCTAATGTCTCTGATGAGCAGAAAGGGAAGAAGATGAAGAATGACGGAGAACCTTCCTGATTAAGGAGCACTGAGCCCTCTCAGGGTGAGGAGTATCTTCTGAGCCCTTCCTTTGTGACATGTAAGGTCACCTCCATGGCAACCCCAGGCTGGATGAGCTCTCCAGGGCATCCCTGCCCTTCCCACTCCTGGGCTTCGGGAGCCAGCTCTCTGCCCACTGTCTGTCCTGTTGTGGTCTTGAATTAAAATGTCTTTATTATAATTAACATTGTTAACACAAGTGAAAAATGAAGAAAATATAAAAAAAAAGGATACAAATAGCTGTTATGGGGACTAGTGGAACACAATGGCTGAGAGCATAGAGGGAGACTGTCCAGCAGACATGGGCTTGTATCTCGGCCTTTGCTAAGAGACCTTGGTCAAATTCCTTAGCATACAGACACTAGCAGTACTGGCTATATGATTTTGTTGTTTGGATTGAATGATAGAATATATATCAATCACTTACCCCTGGCTCATGGTTAACTCTCATTAAATGTAGGATGATGGTGGTGATGATGATGAAGATGGCTGCTCAGTTCTGCCTTGTTGAATCTACGTATGATTTTATTGGTAAGTATTTACAAGCATGCAAGGAAGGACAGCTGCTCGTATTTTATATTTTATGTACTTTACAAAGTAACCTATTTACCATTTTTTCCACACAGTTAAGTTTTTATTTCTGAGTCAAGGCTGCTAACTGCCCACCCTGGAAGTGTCATTTTAGGAGGTACTTGGGTCAAGGGGAGGGAAAGAGAAGCTGGGCGGGGCAGATGGGGCTTTGGTTCCCTTCCCCTGTTCTGTCATAGCAGCAGCTTGCTGATCAATTCTGTGTGTTGGGCTTTTATATAAGAGTTGGTTGGAAAAGGGGTCTGCTCTGTTAAAATGCTCTAACACCTGACATGATCCTGTTCCATAAGCCGTGATGACAAAAGGCTTCAAACAAACTGTCTTCTTTTGAAAATATGCACCCATGATTTATGTCATATTTTTTATTTATGAGAATGAAGTGGGAGCTTAGTCACCTACCACAGCTCAGGGTTCTCAAGGCTTTAGGCATGTTATAAAAGAAAATTATTAGAGACCAAAAACAGGACACAAAGGGAAAAGACGTGTCTAGGTAGGGAACCTACCTGTTCTAGTTCAGAATTCATATGCTCTGTGGATGAGGTTCTTGGAGAAGAAAAGAGATAAGGGCTTTGTAAGCCCTGAAGTGACAGACTAGTCTGTCAGAGGGAAGCAGAGTTTCCAAGCGAGGCTGATGGGCTGGAGATAGTGGGATTAGTTGGCATGGAAGCTCTGGGCTGGTGGGACATGGTCTGCTGGTTTGGGACATGGTGCCAGGGGGTGGCATCTGGGATGAGATCCCACTCCCTACGATGGTGTCTCCCTGCCTGTGCTGTGTACAGAACAGCCTCCATGTTAGCAGGGTTGGTGGCCAGGCTGGGTCTTATTCTTTGGTTTCATTACAGTGGGGCCACCTGTGTGGGCGAAGACCCTGGCACATCACTCCTTTTGGTGATCAGGAACCCATCTTTAGTTTGTCCTCCAAATGAGATATAATTATAGCATCAAGAACAGCTTAAAGGACTCTCCATTCTACTACTCATTGTGTTTTCACAAGGGTCAATGTCTTTAAGGATGAGTCCCCCTTTTCTGGCTTGGCTCTAAGACCATCTGCCAGATAATGGCTGGAGGGTGGGGCCCACTGTTAGTGATTCTTTTAGCAATCCCCAGTTTTTGCACCATTTGTCACTCTGCTTTCTATGGTACCTATATTTAAGATCCAGAACCTCTGCTGGGTTCTGCCTGGCAGACCTGTTCCTGATCACCTCTAGCATCCTTGCTGTATTTTTGTTTCAGGCCATGGCTTCCCCTCTATACTTGTCCATCATTGTTCCACCATCTGCTGTGTTTCTCCTTCAAAATTCTTGAAAACGCTTGTCCATCGATGACCCTCATTCTAGGTTACTATGGCTTTTTGTTATTAGTGATTTATTAGAGCTTAATGGCCTATGTGAGGGAGTAGGAAGGAGATAAGCACAGCAGCCTACCACTTGACCTGGGATATAGCCAGCTGCAGGTGAAGAAGCACTAATGGGATTTCATTAGCATCTTCTCAAGTGGAATGTCCACCTGGAGGGTGACTTTTTCCTCTGACTGGAAAGAAAGGCAAGCCTAGATAGTGCAGAATAAGTATGAGGCTAACCAGTGCATGCAGGTGAAGGGAGCCTGAACCCCAGGCTGTGCAGACAGTACCAGCCAGGGCTCTCCCACCTCTATCCTTGGGACCAGCCATCCTTCTTCCTACCCTGCACATACATCACCCACGATTTCATGGAGGAAGGTCTAGGGGTTCATAGACAGCACTCAACGGAGCAGAGACCACAGTCCAGTTGTAACATCAGAGCAGCCGTCCTGGTCGGGGCCTGTGCTGGGGTGCCCAGGGGCACAAGCACTCCCTGCTACATGTCATGGCGATGCTTTCATGTGGTGTCCCCCAAATACCTTTTAATTGTAGTCTCATTGTTCTAAACATGTTTGTAGTAATGTACGTAGTTGGAATATCATTCCTCCCCACCTCAGGCTTCTGTTTCTAAAACAGGGGTGAAGCAAACAGCTCACGGCAATGGGATTGGCACAACAAAGCTTTTTCAAAATGACGCACTTTTTTGGAATCTTGTCATTCGGGGCATGAAGAAGAATTCTGAGGGTCCTCTAAAAGTGTTTTTCAGCTGTGCAGTTGTCAAGAGGAAGTAGGTGGGGCAGTTGGGGGTGTTCACAGGTCCCAATTACAGATTAAATGCCCCCCTGGCTTCTCTGGCCTGCCCCTGCCATCACCAAGGCCCACATCTGGTCAGCAGGCCTTGCAGTGGAAAGACAGAGGCTGTTCTGAGTATACGTGCTCGGGGTGGAGGGCAGGCAGGGGTGTTTTCTTTGGCAGGACAGGCTCAG